AGTTTCACTAAGAAAATTGGTAAATTATAGTAAGCTTTATGCATTCTTAATATCAGGAGGGAATTTATCTATAATGATTTTAAAGGTATTAAAAATATTTTATACTGAATTATCTACTATCTTAATTAATTTATTGATAGTTTTTTTTTATAAATTTTTTAATAGACTGTATCATTCACAAGTTTAAAACAAAGAACAATAATATTTTTCCAATTATTATTTTCTCAAATAGTCATATTTTCACAACAAAATAATGACCATAACAAAAAACATAATATCAAAGTATTGGGAAACATTTTTATCAAATCCATATCAAATCCATCATTGGCAAAAGGTATAATGTTTTTTTTGTCTAATTTTGTGAAAAAAGGCGAAATTTTAGAGGATCAAAGTGAAAAAGAGTTGGTTGAATGGGGATGTGGAATTATTAAAGAAATTATTACGACAAATAAAGTTAAAATTGTCGAAGAAATTTAAAACATTAAATAAATTATTTATAATATTTATTTTTAATTGAATAATAATTATATAATAGTCGGTTATATCAACGTGATTTTTTTTCTCTCGAAAAAAAGTATTAATACTAATCCATATTATAATATATGTTATGCATAAAAATGAATTACTATTTATTATATTAATATATACAAATTAATGAATGTGTGTGGGTAATTATTATTTTTAATCTATATATTAATAAATAAAAAAGATAAATAATAGTTAAAAAAATATTTTTCTAAAAATTCTAAAAAAATCTACAAAATGATAAATAATAAGAAATAAACAATAAATTATGTTATCTAATCTTGATTATTTATATTATGATGATGAATGTGAATATTATTATGATAATTTAATGTGAGTGATATACCGCCACTTCCAAACTTTCTCTTAATCTATTCCTGGTCATTATAGAAGCTTGGTTTTTCGGTTAACCATGACTTACGACGATAATGATTAATACTATCATCGTAATCACTGTCACCATCATGATTTTCTTCTTCTTCTTCTTCTTCTTCTTCTTCTTCTTCTTCCACCTCCTCCACTCCAAATTCAATTGTTGATGTTCTTGTTTTATAAAACGATTTTGGTATTTTCGGAGTGGTTGGCGTGTTTGGTAGTGTAGTTGAATCAGATAAATTAGTTTGTGTTGAATATCTATAGTTAATATTTCTTATTGGAGATGTAGGCATTGAAGATAACCGTTGGTTTATCACTGTTGGAGTGGGACTTAACGGCACATCTAGATGTTCATTTATTAAATCATCATTATTTTTACTGTGACGATTACTGCCATAATGAAATTTAGAATTCCAACTCAATCTTTTATTAAATTTACTATGAGGAAGAGGGCATGATGATGATAGATTACTGTCATTATCAATAATATCGAAACTATTATTATTGCGGTGGCGTTTATTGTATCTGCCGTTGTTGATATTAGATTTTAATGAGGAGCAAGATGGTAATTTCGATAGAATTGATTTATTATAATCTAAAGAAATTGAAATTGATCCTTCTTCGACGTTACTTCTTGTTAATTCAACCATTGATATTGTTTCGACTTTTTTATTGTTATTAAAAAAAGAAAAATCCTTATTAATGTTGTTAATTTCATCGTTGTTATTAATTGTAAAGGAAGACGAGGATGTTGAATGATAACTGGTTGAATTATCATCATTGAAGGTTTTTTTAGTTGATGACGAAGGCATTGTTAATACACTAAAAAAATTAAAAGGGAAAATTTAGGTTTAATATCATTATCATTATATTAAATATTGCTCGAATGCTATTAGATATAGATTTACAACACTTACTTGTAAGTCATTATCCATTGAATGATGTGCGTAACAACAGGTATTAGGAAATTCCAAATGAAAAAATATAATAAATTTTGTATAAAAAGAGCATTTGCTTATTAAGTAAAAATTAATCTTCATATAAAACATAATATACTGAATAGAGTACTATTAGATAATAAGCATAACTAGTGTTTATATTCATTCAAAATTGTTCGGAC